ACGTGACTTCCGCTGTCGTAACACCATATATATATATATATATATCTAATGGAGTCAGTATTAAATTACATTACAGTATCTTAACTGTTTGCTTATAAGTCAGTGGTAAGTTTATGGACTTACAACCTTTAAAATTCGGGGTTCGAATCCCCGCTGTGGACAGAGAGCAAATAGCCCATTATGTAACTTTGTGCTACTGAAAAAACAGACAAACAACAACAAAGAACAAACAATACTTTTAAATACTAGTAGTAGTACGTATAGCTGTGGAGAGATGGCGGATAAAGTCCAATCAGCTGAGGACGAAAACTTAGCTCGAGGAACAAGGCTTAATCTCGAATGCTGATTATAATATAATAAATTATAAACAATGTAAGAACTAGGACGTATTTCGTATTATTTTGTTTTAATTTTATTATTCAACTTAATGTGCTATAAATAGTTAGATTAGATTTAATAAATTAGAAATATTTTGGTTTAACATTGTACTTTAAATACCGACTTTTTATATATTTTTAGGCCTAAGGTTTTAATTTTTAGCTCGGTCCCAGAAAAGTTTGGAATACAAATTACAATCCTGTACGGTACTACCTCACCTATATTATGATTATAATAATAGCGTTAAGTAATTTTCTGTCTCATTGTAAATGAATAAGCATCAGTGATACTAGTTTTGAATTATGAAGTACTACTACTACTATTATAATACTCCGTATTACTATTAGTAGACTTAAACTGTTAAAGATTATAAATTATAATGTAACTTGTGAGTATAATGTTAGCGTAAGTTATATGCCATGTATGTTTAGTGCCGTCTAATATAGGGTTCGTAAAAACACTGGAACAAACCGACAGTGGAGTTCAGACTTTGAACTCTATTTTCAATTTTTTATATAACGTATTTTAATTTAAACTCGCTTCTCTCCCTTTAATTCTTACATATGTTATATAAATAGCAATTTTGCTTATAAAAGTTGTATTTTATGTTTTGAACATCACATAACGTTCACAGATGTAATTTACAAATGTGTACAGTGTCAGTAGATGGTATTCATTACAACAGATTAATACTAAATAGTAATTTTAATAATGCTATTACTAGGTCAGTAATAATTACTTATAATAGCTTTACTAGAAGTAGTAATCAGATTGATAAGTATAGCAGCTTCACAAATGCCATATTTTGTTTTATGCAATGGCTCATTGCACAGCATTTTCCTCAAAATATTTGTTTCAAGAAATACTAAACCTTGTCATGAATATAAACTTACCTGAATTTGACTGTGTCATTTAAACAAAACAAGAACTTTGAAAAAGTTTAACTTCAAAATTAAATTTATACTAAACAAGTAAAACATTAGCCTTAGAATACTGGAATAAGACAGGTGTCCTGTATTAAAATATGAAATGTACTATTAAAAATATTTGCTAACTTTGTTTGAAATGTATGCCAAAACTCTCAAAACATTATCTTGGATCTGACCTTTCGAAATGCTGTCTGGTCAGAGTAAGTATAACAAAATTTTTGCTAACAGTATTTTTGGATTAAATCAATTTGTATCTAATAGAATACTTTATTTTTGGTAAAATGAAAGTTTTTTATTTATGTGTATTGTTTAAATGTGATAAACTTAACAATGATTATGAATTAGGATTTGAGTCTGCAAAATTTTGTTGCTGCCTACAGCATTCTCTAAACCTAATAAGGCTTACCTGATATGTTGTCATTGAAGAAAATTTCTGTATCTTTCAAAGAAGGAAGATTTAACAAGGAAACATTTTAAGGAATGAAAAGAACATCTAAAGTAACTTCTTAAAATTTTCCATCCTTGTGATTTGTTCTTAAATCAACTAAGCATCCTACAATATTCCTTTGTTCTTCTCAGCAGAAGCTAGGATGTGTCACTTTCCCAAAGAACCATAAATTACTTTTCTCACCACTTTATTAATTCAATATTTATGTAAATAGTTTATAATCTGTTCTCTCCAGTGGTATTTAAATCTTGACTTTAGCAATTTTCAAAGTTGATCGTCATTAATAGTTGTTCTGATCATGGTGAGAGGTCAAAAAAGGGTGGGAACAAGAAGCCATTCTAACAAAATCAGAGAAAGATCAGAAAAATCACAGGAGATACGACACATTTTTAAGGGATGATAGTTTCTTATCAAATATAAGCCCAGTGCTTTGGGATGGGCAGAAACTTCTTAAACATTTATTCATGCATTGTTTATAGGAAAGGCTCCTCTAAGCTATACAAGAACATAACTTTGAACAGTTTTTTCTATTTACAAATTACACTAAATAAATGTCACAAGATAAAATTTATCAATTCTAAAATATTTTTTAGAAAAAAATTGTTTAAATCAGTTAAAATCAATATTTTTACTTAAACTTTAAGATTTAATATGCAGATCAACACTTGATATATGAAAAATTTTCACCAACCTGGAAAGAGTTAACCAGAGCTTACCCTGTCTTTTTTTAAATGTTAAATTGTGTCCTACTGTCTCCAGAATACAGTACAAAGAAGTAAGATGTTTTTATCCCATTGATATCCTGGATAATCTTATAAATGTCAATAAAATCTCCCTTAACCCTTAAGAGATCTTAACCTATTCCTGATAATTCTTCCTTCCATTTCTGGATCCATGCCAAATGCCCTCCATTGAATCATTTGCAATAAGTCAGTGTATTTTTTTAGCTAAGAGACTGAAACTATATACAGTATTCAAAGTGAGGCCTAACATTGATTTTTCGGGAGTAAGAATGACCTCTTCTGAGTTGTAATCAATATATCTGTAAAAACACCATAAAATTATATTAGCTTTACCACTTGTAACAGAGCTATGTGTATGCATGGATATGAAAGCCTGCACACTGTCATTATATAGTTTTAAGAAATAGGGTACAGTTTGTGATCTTGGAGCAGAAGGAATCTTATCACAAGTTTTGAAGTTTTTTGGGATGTTGTTTAAAAAATGTCATTATATTTTTATGTTTGTGTAAAGAAATCTGACATTAGAACAAATTCACAATACCTTATGGTTATTTTCAGAAATGTTTTGAGAACGCAAAACACACTGACACAATTTAATATTCAAAATGCTTGTTTTTAATATTAATGTAAGTTTGGTTTAAAAAGAAGTTTGCACTAGTTCTTTGAGATGTCATGTGCTATTTTTTTGAATTTAAAAATAAAGACAAACTTAGCTCACAAAGTACTGGATCAAATTTCTAAATATATCATACTGACATGCTGCCAAAGTGATCCAAGGCAACAAAACACTTGTATTTATTTTCAGGAGCTCTGTTTTCTGATCTAAGCAAGCTGGCTTAAATAATGGGTTATTTCTGAAAAATAAAATCAAAATGAAAAATTAAATTATAATACATATTCATTGGTACAGGATTTAATGGTACACACTAAGAAAAGCAAATATTTATTGTACGGTATACTCCCTCAGTTTTCAGCATATGTGCCTTCTAGGTCCTGATCTATTTATATGAATAGCAAAATCTGTAATTGTAGAATTGTATAGTTGAGTTGAAGTGTAAAGGTCATGATTGAGAACAAGCTCATAATAATTAAGTGAATTTTATAAGTTAAGTGAATAAGTATAAGTTATTTACATTATTTAATTTTTTCTATGATATATATATATTTGTTTACATAGTATGCAGTAATTTTAATGAACGGCTTTTGTGGATGAGAAATAAAAGTTAACTTCCTTTGTTTGACTAATTTTAGAAAAATGTAGCTAAAACTTTGAATTTAGCTTTTACCATTTTATAGCAAATTGATACAATATTATGTTCTACCTGAAACACTACTAATTCCTACTTTTAACCTTATGTTTTACTGTATATGATGATGTACAGTGAGAATGCTGGTTATAAGTCTGAATTTAAATCATTTCTTATGCAGTTTGTAAAATATAAAACGTTTTGTTTATAAATCCAGTTTTTAGCACTACTAATTATTGTATGTTTGGAAGTAAATTCACTTCTATTTTGTTGTTCAAAATTAGTCTCTATATGCCATTTGTTTGCCCCTTTTTTATCATATCAATGTTGTGAAGTTGAATAATATCACCAGTAATTGTCTCAGGATTAATGGTCTACAGAGATGCAGTGATTATTGTATCAACATAATTGTAGAACTATTGATAAGTATTGATATCAGTGATTCATACTGTTATGGGTACCAGTGCTGTAAAAGTAATGAATTGATTTTTAAAACATTAAATATTTTCATGTTCTTGGCAGCATCTGAATTTTGCCAATATGGAAAATTAACTAATTCATTTTGAAAATATTAAATTTTTTCATGTTGGTGGCACTGTTTTCATTATGTGAAAGCAGTAAAAATTAATAAATTTTGTAAATATTCATACCATTATTGGTTAGTAAGCAAATGTAAATATCAGCTATTAGTACTATCAGCAAAAGCATGGTATCAATATATATATCTGTTTGTTTATGATGTGGGTTCTTTAGTGGAATTTATGTTTCCACATCAACTTGTAAGTTAATTGTATGTGTATAAGCCAGTTACAAATTACAATAGTGAATGTGCACATATTGCAGTTTAGGATAGTTAAAATGAAGGAGTAACATTACCTTATTGTGGATGTTGTCTTGTTATCCAGTAGCCAGCATTGACCAATGTGAGCTTGTGGTGCAAGTTAATAGCTGTTGATATAGCAGATTTATAGTGGTATGGTGCTGTGGAAAGCTATAGTTTGTCAGTAAGTTATTCTTGAAGTCAAACCAGAGCTCAGATAATTTGAGAGATTTTTACAAGTATTGGGCATGTGGTGGTGATACTCTGGCAGGTAAGGAGCACACAGTTTGAGTGAACTATCTGCTATACTCAAAATATAACCTATTTTGGAAGATAAGTTGACTTTGTGGTGATGCTACTCCTTTCCTGAGTTGGATAATGGAGACCATTTGGAGAAAGTAGTAGACTTAGTGATTATCTGGAATGGTAGTAGCTGGATTTTTTGTCTACTGTTGGTTTTGTGCATAACATTGAATGTGCCATTCATTTTTACTTAACTTAATACTAGAAATATAAGAATAAATTGATTTATCGAATGATGTACTTTATTGTTACAAACTGTCAAAATATATATTTACTTCTTTAAGGTAAGTTGATTCATTGTAGTTTAAACACAAAGCTACACAATGGGCTATCTGTGCACTGTCCATAGACATACCACTGTACCACTGGTGGGCATTTAAAGAAGGTGTATTATACATATATTTTGTAACACATTTGTATAAATAGTGAAACTGAATTGTATACATGTATATATTGTATCAAACTATCATTTTTGTGTCTGTGAAAAAGTGAAATTCATTTATTCATTGTTTATATAGTATATCTTGGTAAACTGTTAGTACCAATAGTTTGTGGCAATTTCTGTTATTTTATGTGGAAGAATGTAAAATAACTCATAAGCCCATAATGCATGTTGTTAGGGTATTCATTCTGTTGAATATCTAATACTATTAAATGTTAATAAAACACATAAAAGATTAATTCCCTATTTTTGAAACCAATTTCTTTATAATTGATTATCAGCATCAAACTTTTCAGATGAACATTCTTTGATTTTTACAGTTAGATTACATGTATTAAATTGTGCCTAATGAACAGTTCTGCTTTTGAAAAAATTTGAGGATGATGTTTTGTAGTTTTTTGGTGACGAGGTTTGAAGAAATACTTATAAACTGGCATGGATAATCAGCCCCGCTGTCTAAACATCTCCTCGAAGATTGCAGTGATATTACCGATATTGGTTGTTACCGCTACAGTATCATAGAAGGTCTATCAATAGAAAATGCTCAAGTTCATGATGAGCTGAAAGCAGTTTTCAGTGTCTCTGTTGCATCATGTCCTATAACATGTAATGGCCAGAATAATTTCCTATTCAGGTTTCTCCTAAATGAGCATTGCTGATATTGCATTCCAGTATTCAGAAGGGGTTATTGTCTAGTATTACACAAAATAGAAACCATAAAATATTAATAATTTCTCAAAACTCTTCCTCACACCCACAGTACTCTTGTGGAAACGTGACCACCCACAGAAATATTTTCAATGGGGGCAAAACATGTATGTAGGGGATCAGCTTTTATAGTTTAAGTCAACAGACTAAAAGAATATGTGTTGTGTGTGTGCTTAAATGCAAACACAAATCTACAGTTTTAATAAAAATTAATAAGAATATTTAGTTTAACTACGAAGTGAAATTTACATTATAATACGTGCAAATTTTTGTGAAATGTAGGGGGGGCAGATGCCCCTTCCTGCAGGCACCCATGTATGAAAATACATAAACTTTATTGAAGTTGTTTTAATTTTGTTTTTATTTTTATAATATTTTTTCTTCTTTTACTCTTGGCTGTAATTTTTCGTACTTTTGTATTTTTGGTGATACCCAACTATACTTAGTACTCCCAAACAACTACAGTAATTTTTATAATTTTTGACATAATCTGGGCAATTTAAATATGCCTATCTTTCACATATAACATTGTATCTCTTAGAAAATTTCTAATTTGTTTTTATATTGAATTGATAAAAATAAATGTTTTTTGGTTGTTTTATTTTTTGTATGAAGAATTTTTAATTTTTCAATGAAATGTTTGCTCTATTTAGTATTTATTATTGTTAATTGTAATTCAGTGTTGCTTCTAGGATTGTACTTTGTGTATTTACACTATTTCAATTGCCACTGATACAAAATAATCGTTTGCCTGCGTACTTGTTCATGAAAAAAAAAAAACAGAAGTACACATTTAAATTTTTCATGTGCGCTCACCCTTTGAAATGTATCAAAAATGACAATGTAATGATAGATTGTGATTGTAACTGGAAAATTCGGAACAGTAATTAGCTCATTTGGATATACAAGGGAATGTGATTGGCTGTGTTATGATGACATTTGGTTTGGGGGAGATTCTGTTGATATTAGGGGATATCAATGATTGGAAATGGCAGAAAAAATGAAAGGTATGAAGGTGTTCAAAAGCAGTTAATTTTCAGAAAAATTACTACATTTTTCCGTCAAAACGATGCAAAAATAGAAATGAATAAAGGAAAAAGGTGCAGAGAAGACGACTGCAGTAAAGTTTTGTCAGTGAATGTGTAGATATTTTCAGTACATACACAAATGAAACAAGTTGCAATAATTCAATTTACTGTTTCGTCAAATAAAAATTACTTGATCATTTTATGCTTTTATGACTCATGAAGTTGATACCTACTTCATTACATGGATGGCCCACTTTCTAGAAGCAACACTGTAAATTATTATTATAGTTTGTTTGAGTCCATATAATCTGTTATAAATCATCATTATGATAAAGTTTTGTGTAAAATGCTAAAAATTAATTTTTCTTTCTTAGGTAAAATACCTTCTTGATTTGCAATGGATGAATTGAACAAGAAATAAATATCATGGATTGGTGCAAAAATGTTGTGAAATTCTGTGATCAGAGAGAAAGAAGGGTATGTTTTTCAGTGTTTATAGGTATGCAAATAACATATAATGTCTTTCACAAAAAAGTTAGACAAAGTACTTTATTTTTTAAAACAAAATGTGCATATTTTTGTGAATAGTGTATGAAAAAAGTTAAAATGCAAATTTTGTAGATAAAATAAGATGTGAGACTTTTACAAATTATACTCTCTCTCTCTAAATAAGTAAATAAATATATATATATAGTTTATAAAAAATACAAACACTATATTCATGTAACCTGTTATTTACTAACAATGTGGCAAACAGTCTAGACAGTGCTGCCTTGTACATGTACCAGACTCAGATTTAATCAAGCGTACTACGAAACATCAAAGGAGCAAATATAAACTAAAACTTTACCCAATGTATCTATCTAAATATCAATAGATTCAAAAACTTTTACTTACCTAATAATAGGAATAATTAAAAACATAAGGTTAAGAATAGCTTCACAAATACTCACCAGATTAAGCCACTGCTGACTGGCAGAATATCATTTTTAACCTTATTTTTGCTTTTACCTGTTCCAGTCTTAGCCAAGTAAAACATTTTATTTTTAAATCATGGAATCCTCTTGTAATGTTTATAAATAACATCTAGGTAAAATTATTTGAATCAATTTTTGTAACAGATGAGTTCACTTTAAAATATTTTAAATGGATGCTGTGTTGTTTTTAGGAACAATTTGGTACATACTTTCAACGAAGACTTCATGTAACAGATGAATTTATTGCACGATTGGGTCTTGAAGCAGAACTAGAGGTATTCTTTTGTATTTACCTATTGGTTTAAAAGATTTTTATACAGTGTACTTCAATTAAAAAATTATTTACTATGTTGGATGTCCATGCATTCATTATAAATATCATGGATTGGTGCAAAAATGTTGTAAATCTTAAGCACGTTCTATTCCTCTACAGTCTTTAAAGATATGTATATGTTGAAATTATTGTTCATAATGTATAAATATAGGGTACCTCCAAATGTATATACACATTTTCAAAGGTGATAACTTTGAAACGTGTTGGTTTAAGATCCCTCAAGGTTTATTCCTTCTTGCCAGTATTGGTCTAAACCAAGATTTAAGATTTTGTCAATAGATTTCCTGATATTTTTCTGTAGTTGATTCACATCACATTCACCATTGAGATCTGCTTCTATTAAGTTCAAATACTAAATTGTGGCCATTCAACAAAAATCATATACTCTTCTGTGTTTCAAGGAATCCAAGTCTTTATCTTGTGCACTGATAATTCCAGTAAATTGTATCATGCACAAATACCAATGAACTAATATACAGTTTTAGTGGCAGATCCAGGATTTTATAAACTGGAGGTTTGACAAGGTTGTTTTTTAGTATATCTAGGGAAACTGTGCTCTGCATGGATGGAAATATGTGAGTGTGGAAGGTGTTGATCCCCTCCCAATCCATCAAAGGGGAGTAGGGGAATACTGTAAGATTTCTCAGTCATCATCTCATGTATTTAAAATCCTTAGAAGATGAATAGGAAAAAAGTTTTGTTTAATTTAGGTTCTAAAATTGTTAGTTATTCATTAACTACAGAAAATCATCTTAACTGTCTCTGTATTGGAGAAGGAATGTTGACTATAATTTTGAATTTACGATATGTATCTATGTGAAATGTGGCAAGCTTTGAGTGAAATATACAAGTATTGTACCAAAAATATCAGATATGTCTGTGAATTGATGACATCAGTCTGACTCTGACAAGTTGAAGTGCAAATGATGTTCCTATGAAGAATAAAAATACTTTTCTCCATCATACTGTTTGCATGTTGTATTTGCATAACATTTGGAACCTAGAAATGGATAGCTACAGTTTTTTTTCAGTATCCATGTATATTGTAACTGGTTTTACTCTACCATGAACTGTCATTAAATCAGCAAAACGGGGTAGAATGAATAATCGAAAACTCTGACATCAAACATATAGCACCATGGTAAATAACACCCTGAAAAAGATTGTGACATGTGCACTTTGACCCCACCTATGCACATTGGGTTAATATTGTAATACAATACATAGACTTACCCTTTCTTCTCTAGGAAAACAAAGCAAAGTGTTTTACATGTCACAGCACTATTTATACAATCTGAATAAAACAATATATAGTTGCTACAATTTTTTTTTTACTGATTTTATTATTTTTATAAAATCATAAAACAGTGGCTAGTCATTAGCTATTAGAGTAAAAGGAAAAACTAAAACTAATACATATTTACAAATTTCTAAACAGCATATTATTTTAAAATGCAGTATCACAAAGGCAGCTCTGCTAGTAACTGGAAATAAACAGGCCAATAAATGCTTTGGTAAACATGGAAGTTTGATAGTGCAAGTAGCCCCAGCACATTTTACTGAAACAGTTGCATTGTACTTTCCATCAACACAACAAATACGTATCCTTATGCATTGGCTTTATTGGTTTTACAGGGCAATGAAGATGCAAAGTAGCCTAAGTTCTTTGACTTTGTTTTGCATTGCTGTGGCTGTGCTTGACCTGGTTACTACATGCTTGATGTGATACTGTCCCAAGATAAAACTTATAAATTGGCAATTCACAGAAACATTATTTTTAGCACACTTGAACAGACAAATCCATTATGTTTTATTATGTATTTTTTTATACTTTAAACATATATGATCAACCTATGTAATTTATTGTAATTACATTTAAAAACAGCACTGTTTAGTATATTAGCATCCTTACCCAGTGAACACCCTTATAATGTTCATATTTGCAATTCATTTATTTATTCACTTATTATTTATAGGTAATTCCCTTCTTCCACTGGTTTCCATGCCCCACTAATATATATATATATATTATATATATACCAATCAGCCAATACAAAATTAATATGAAGCAATGAATTTTCTTGGGAGGTTTAGCTCCTTTGAACCACATATGCTTCTTTTGCCAGAATTGAAAGATGACATAAGCAGTTCAAGGGCAAAAGATCTATGTTTCCTATAAGGAACATTGGATGAACCAAGATAAGTTTCATTATTGTTGCCATGTTAATGGAGGCTTTTAAACTTATCTCTGGAAAAAATGTGAGGTGGACTTCTGTTGAGTTTGTTGCACCATGAGTTTTGGTATTGAACCTTTTAAAAACATGTCTGTACTGTTGTTTGCATAGAATTCAGATGATGTAAGAGCTACTTGAAGAAGGCCATGAAGTCTACAGTTTACAGCTACACATGCTCATTTTTATAAATTTATTGAAGAAACAATTGATGCAATTCCAGAAAGCGTCTTTGCCAGTGTGTTTGACAAATGGTATTAACACCTTCAGAAATGCAGCAAGGCCATTGGAAGTCACATGGAAGCATTGAAAACCTGAGAGTTTATACACCAACTTTTACTATACCACATTTTTCTTTTGTTTTTATTTCAAAGCTGTTAACCTTCATAAAGGATGTGTATGTCATGTATAGTTGAAGCTAATAGGAAAGGGTTTTCTGTGCTGATAACCCAAGGAGGGAAAAAGTATATGTATAATCCCCAAATTAACTGAATCATAAGAAAGCCTTACACATGGTCTCACCATTTACAATCAAATCTTACAACCTGGAAATAGACTGTGATGTATGATAAAGTAGATATTAATGCTCTTTCACTCACTGTGAACTATGGTAGTGTATCTAAAATTTAATGTAAGCTTTTAGATTTTGTAATATTCATCATTTGAATAAAGAAATATATAAATGGAATTAAGTATCCAAGTGTTACTGTTAGCAAATAAACTAAGCTGAGAAAATAATTATATCATTTAAATATATAAAAATTATTAATTGTTTTAAGAACTTTTTTCAATCAAATGCACATTTAATATTTTTTGTAGGAATCTGTCGTTAGTAAGCTATTAAATTGTGTCAAACTAGTAAACAACTTTGTTAGTACTTTGTCAACTCATTTAAAAGCTTCAGATCTTTTAGAGATATGATTTTTAGCATCATTTCAGCAGTCTTTAACTAGTAACTGGTAAAAAGGAAGATTAATTAAAAAATCAATAATTGTGAGGAAGTGAGAAGGTTTTTGTTATTTTATAGAAACAAAATCCAAGATTTGTGACATTGAATGATTTTGAGGAGGTTTTGTTGTGAAATATAAAGTTTAAAAATATTGTATTTGTTTTAACCTTTTTTTTAAATATAGTATTGTTCTTGTTTGGTTTAATCTGTAATACGTATAAAGGATTCTCTGAGGTCTTCATTTACTTTAAAATTAGTTTCTTTTTTATGTTTTGTTAATAACTTTTCTTTGACCTTTAGTTTTATACTTAATTATCTTACTTACACTTGTTGATGCTCAACTTGGACCTTTCTTATTCCCAGTCATAGTACATTACATCTTTGTGTAATCACATTGTAGGTTTAAGTAGGTTGATGGTAATATGTTTTATCTACCTATCTGTTTTATAATTAATGATCCTATTTTATTTGTCTGTCATGTGTCATAGGGTCATGGAGGTTGTGTTAACTGTCTAGAATGGAATGGGAAAGGAAAGTAAGTTTAGCAATTCTTAAATTTCACTTATATGTTTTAAGATATTAGGTTCTTCAACCTTGTATGTTTTGTGTATGTAATGTGCATAATATTACAATGCATAGAGTAGCAATTATTTTTGTGTACTTTGCTAAACAATTTCAACACAGTCTTGACTTAGGAAACAAAAAATAGCTATATACATTAGATAAGTACTTACTTCTAAAAACAAAACTTTTCGTTACAGGTTGGATCTTTAACTCTTTCTAGATCAGTGAGGTGTCACAGATATCTCTTGATTTTTTTCCCTTTATAGATAAGCTTTTACTAAATTTATTTTATCTAAAAAATTCTTCAAAAAGATTGTATGTAAAGACAATTGATTCATTTGAAAGGGTTGTTTTAACTATTGAAATCATTATTAGACATATTCAGTATGAAAACCAGAAAGACAGACCCACTTGCCATACCCCCCCTATCACATCTTTTCCTTCATAAATTGCATTAGTTCTCCCTGATGTTAAAGGGAAGGCAGAGTTCCATCTCAAGACAGATTTCCCTCAATCTAAAAAATTAACTATTTGACGAATGGCTACTACAAGTGTATGTTTACCTTGAAACATTCAGACGAGCATTTACTGATAAGCAGCTTCATAAAAACTCAGAAATATTGTAGACCAACAAGTATATGTTAATAATATAATTGATCGGTGGTTTTCAAAAGTGAAGTATGTATCTCATCGTGGTGGTGTGTTGTTGTTGAACATGTGAGATTTTCGTGCTTTATGCACCACTTCTATACTAATTTAGTGATGATCCATTTAAAGTAATTCCCATACACTGTCATGAAAGTAATCAAACTCAATCTAGATATGTATTTATTTTATTTTGTCTGTAATAGGCCTAAACTTGTGAGTGACTAAGTCTGTAACAACGAAACTAAATTGTAAGTCATAAAACTAAGCAGTCTAAAGTTAACATTAATAACAATGTCTTTCATGAATTTAGATATAAACTATTACAATTTTTTTCCCTTGAACTTGAACAAGTATTTGAGCTTTTTGCAGAATATTTAGAATTACATTGGAAAACTTTTCCAAAAGTGAATTTCAGGCTTACATGATGTATCCACGGTTAACTAATTTTTACCTCTAAAATATCAACTTTCTTCAAAACATAGTTGATGTATATGATCTTTTAACAACACAGTTCTCTGAGCAATGGGCTCCAGATAATGGCTCTGTTTGCATTTCAGAGTATAGAAGCTGTTCAGCTCACTGCCCCTATATCCCCGTCCCTGAGTATTTTCAGTCAGTTCAACTCTTCTCTACTGCCATCCCTGTAATATTTGCTATTGTATCATTTATAACCAACAGAAAGTTAAAGTTTTAATTTATCAAATGAATTATAATGCTACTAGGTTTTTGAAAAACATTTTTAGTTATTTTGCCAACAGATTGAAAAGTCATTATTACCAAATTTAGATTAAACAGCAAAGGGAATTATTTTAGTCCACTCATGCCTAGGATAGAAAGCCAGTTAAATTATAATAGTTATAGGACATTGTTTGCTTTGTGCATGTTGTTACTTTGTGCCCTTAAGTAAATAGTTGATGTAATAGTAACATCATTATAAAAAAATAGGCTTAAGTTTCATCAGCATGCCAACAGCAAAGAAATGAGGCAAAATATAAGTATAAATTTTATGTTTTTTATGTATAATTTCTATTTATTGTTATGAAAGTAACTAAAATGTAAAAATTAGGAACTTATTAAGTTAGGTAATGAAAAAATAATAATAAAAATATTATTCCATAAGGTATGCTCAGGAGTAGCTCATGCCTATCATTCAGCTTTAACTTGAGCTACATGTTTGCTGTGTGATTTTAAATAAAAGCATGTAAACTGTTACAAGACTTAAGGTAATTATGATAAATAGTTGTATTTTTCTGTTTCATTTTGCAGTCATTCTAGAAAAATAGGGTAATTTAGATTTATTTTGTACTTTTTTGTGTTGGTTACAAAGTCAATAGAATCAACAGAGTTCATGTAGTTAAAGTAAAAAAGTATAAAATATAAAGCTTTATTAAAAAGAAAGCTTTTTGATATTTGTTTAGGAAGTTATAGAGGTTATGCAACTTGAAGACTAAGATGAAAAAAGCATTTTTAATCTTAACATCAAAAATCATCTTGCACTTAGACTAGTCAGAGTGTGAGTCACACATTGACTCGATATATTCACAAACATATATTTAGCAAAAATACTTAATTAATAGATCTAATTTTTATCTACAAAAGACTTGTAATGTTTACTAAAAGCTTGCCAAATTTCATGAAGATATAGTTACTACATTGACAGTTACAGTAAGTATACTTTCATGAATACATGGTGGTTTCAATCTTAGTCAAAGCAACCAAGTCTGTATCTAAGTTAAAAGCCAATCTAAACAGAAATCTCACAGCTTCATTTAACCACAAAAATATTAATTAGACTTGTTATATATATATAGAAATCTTTATTAGGCTTGTAATATAAAGAAGTCTTTAAAAGATCTGTGTTTAAAACTAATCTTAAAGGCTTGTTAAACTACAGAAAGTTTATTAGATTTGTTCTATATAAAAAAAGTCTTATATTTTGTTATGCCTGGATGCTTGCATCCTGCCCTGAGTGAAAGTTGCACCATTGAATTTAAAAACTTATACAAAATGAGCTTTTAAGAAATTTTTATTATGGTTTGGTTTCTACATGATTTGAATGAAAACATTCATGTTTGTGAATTTCCTGAATTTTTTTCTGAGCATAATACAGTGGTCTTGTCCCACAAGAGGAAAGTTGAAAAGTTTTGCACAAAATGTCATGTAGTTGATCTTGTAACTTGAATACAAATGTAATGTTATCAACTTTAGCCAGTCACTGTTTCTCTGTCTTGGTTGTCATAGTGTAATTGCTTATATACTAGTTTTGAGAAGTCATAGGCTAGTGATCTAAACATGTAAAGAAAGCCAGTTGGTTTCCATTTTATAAAAGCTTTTTATGGTGTAAATATCATTTTATAGTTCAATTGAATCATGATGAAGTATGGTAGGAAAAGAAATGTTCTTACATGGAAAGAGGGGTTTGGCTTATTTATATCATTTCACACTCAACCATATCAAGTTTCATTTTGCTGAAAAGGCTGTGTTTACATAGTTCTTCTCACCTAAGTAACTGCTTGAATGGGAAAAGAAAATCAGAAAAATATTATAAATTAAATAAAACCTGATTAACAAAGATAAAATATACAATGTGTAAAATAAATCATTATAGAAATGTTTTACAAGAATGTAGGAAGACAAAAAAATCAGTAATTAAAATCTACAACAAAGCTATTTCATATAAATATCACATATAAAAATGATATGTTTTATTTGGAGAAGCTACATAATCTGTAGAACAGTTTGAAGTTTCAAACTACATCATCTGGTAGTTGTGTTTTACAATGCTATAAAACAAACCATGCAGCAGGTATGTCAGAGTGGTGCACTTGGGCTTAATATAGTTAACAGCCTTTTTGTATCAAAATAAAATGATTTGCTTTGGTTATTATAAAAATATTTGTAATAACTGTTTTAGTAACAACACTTCTTTTCTCTAGAACATATGGTAACCTTTTCTTTCTTTTTTTTTGTCTGAACAAATGGTAAACAATAATTCTGGTAATTGTTTGTTCCCATTGATCTTTGAAAGGTTTTAGAACAGGAGTGTATTATGTTTTATCTAACAAAAAGAGTGGAAGTTCATAAAACTGAATTGTATCTAAGTTTAAAAAACCAGATGTAAAAAAAAATGGAATAAAATTTTCAACGCAGTATTAGTGGTTGTTTAAGTACTTCTTAGATATGCACAATTAATTTGGAGAATTTTTGTTTCTTGCAATTTATTGAATAAATATGTAACATGAGCAATGATTTTTAGTAACTTTTATTAATGTAACAATGATGATGTCATAGTTTTATGTAACGTGCTGCATATTATTGTTTGCATATATGTATAAACCATCAATATTTTCTATATATTATGTCAGAAACATAGTATTATTTTTCTCACTGATATTTCAGTTTATTAGCCAGTGGTTCAGATGATGTGCAAATTATAATATGGGATCCATTTAGAAGAAAAAAGTTAACTACTCTACATACAGGTCACCATGGTAACATCTTTTCTGTAAAGGTAACAAGATATTAGTTAAATTTGTAAAATCTATTATTTGTGTGTATGTGTGTGTTATGGTGTCAAGAAATTTAGTATCTTAAGCTCTTATAATTAGATAAAATGTATTTCATTATCATGGAGAAAATATACAAGTAACAAATACTTCTATTTGTAATTGACATACAAGTTGCAAATATTTCACTTTGTGGTTAAAATAGCTAACAAATTTTTTTGTGGTTAATATGCATTTAATAGATACTTCTTTTCCTGGTGAATATACAGGTAGCAGTTATTTTTTTCTGTGTTTACTTTGTTTGGGTTAACACAGGTAAGAATTATTTAGTATTGTGCTTAATAAAAGTTAACATATACCTGTAAGTAACAAATGTTTTTTTTTTTGTAGTTTGAATTATCTTTTACTAAGCTTGGTGAAACTATGGTTCTAGATCATACCTATGTGTAAAGTTTAAAATAAGCTCCTTTCCCAGATGTTTAAAAGATTATTTAAGCTATAGGTTTCATGCTGTAATGTTGCATAAAGATTAAGTTGCTTGACTAAGATGAATGGTTAAGGTATTATGAAGGTCAGTCATGTTATATTAATTTCTTCTCAACAAACAGTGAAGTATCAAGGCTTGAGTGTGAGAACCACATAAAGGTCAGTATGGTTCCAGTTTTAGGGACCAAAGTTCACAAAAGCCTAACTTTTTTTGTTTGTACTAAACATGATCATGTGATTAAAGATAGACAATTTAATTGATTATCCTTGAGCAGTTACATCATTTAGTGTCACATAAAATAAACTGATCAGTTAGTTGAAATTATGATCACATCAATTAATGTCAAGAAAATAATCAAGTAATCAGTATTAGTGTTTCTGATTATTACTGTTATTATTATTTACAATTAAATCAGTTGTCACAACTATAATCAACTAATGAAAATTAGGGTTTCTGATTGTTATTAATTTCAATTATTCCAATTATCCAAGTAATCAAAATATTGCCCTTATGTTTCTTTGTAGTTAAGCACAAATACACATAATGGGTTCCCTGTGCTCTGTTTACTGTGGATATTGAAATCTGAATTTAACCCTTTTGAGACGGGTCATAGGTGAAAGGCCTTGTCATCTCATTTGTTCACATCAAAAATTTTATTGAACTATTATTTCATGAATTTATGTCAATAAATTTGGCATCAAACTGAAGATTATAATTCAAGTTTTAGAATTATACATTACTCAATTTCTTAATTGAAAAGTAAATATTTAAAAAATCACAGATAAACATCCATTTTTGTGTGTCACATGGTGTGTTGAATGCAGCATTGGTTCAGATTAGATGCTTTTGAAGTCAAAATACTAAGCCTACAGTTTGGTACGAATTAGAAATTCAAATTACAGATATTTACAAGCAAGAATATAAAATAAAAAGGTCTTATCTTTTCTATTTACTATGATATTGCTCATGTAATAAATCAAACACAGTGGCACCCCACCCACCTCTTTCCATTTTTGGAAATGCTCCCTTATATACACTTACTTCTATATATGACATGAATAACCAATCGGAAGCTCAGAATGTCCCCCTAGTGGTTTCCTCGGCCTTTCTAACTTGACTAGTTTTTCTTTTGAACCAAGATTTCAATGAAGTAGGTTGTGTCTTTAGTCTGTTCGAAATTCCATATTTTTTTTAGACTAAAATACATCTTAGTTACTAAGCTTGATAAATTATAGTTGAATTCTATGATATTGATGTAGTAATTTAAGATTTTTATTAGTTATTCAAATGTATATATATGAAACCTAAAAAAAAACATTTTGTTTCATATCCTCCATATCCTTGTTTGCTTTACTTCTTTATTTACTATTCT